GTGCCTCAGGTATCTCAAATGCGAGGTTTTGTTTGCATTTGCAAGGTGGGATTCGCATTTGCGATGGAGCTTGGGCAAGGAAGGATTCGCATTTGCAAGTTTTTCCTTCGCTTTTTCGATTAGCCCAACTTCGCATTTGCGAAGTTTTCTGTCGCAATTGCGACCTTGGCAGAAATAATCAGGCTTCGCAATAGCGATGCTTTTGCCGCATTTGCGACCATCACATTTGCGAACCAGATGTGACAAATGTGACTGGTGCAAGGGCTTTTATTACGGAACTTAGGCCTTCTTCCTCACATTTTCATGTCTTGGGAGATTTTAAGAGCACTTTAGAGGGGGATTCTCATCTACAGTACAAGGTAAGTAAACTCCACCCACTATCATGTTAAATATGCAGATTACAAGTAGATTGAACATGGAAAATTTGTGAAAACTTGTGGGATTTGTAAAGAACCTACGCTTTTGCTAAATTTGGGATTTGATCACGAATTTGGTGGTGGAAATGGGAGAAAATTATATATTTGAGTTCAGGAGTTCATGGGTAACATTTATCTTCAAAATTTCCAGAATCTGAGCATGTGGATCTGGGGGTTGAATTTCATTAACCTTCCAAATTGAGTTGGTAACTACTATAAAAGCTAAAATATTAACTTTTGAGCATATATTTACTAGTTTATATGACTTTTGATTTGTTTCGGAGTCTTCGGTGTCGTTTGAAGGATTCTAGAGAGGTTGGAGAGCTAGATTGAAGATTTGGGACCGAGGTAAGTCTCTTGTCTAACCTTGTAAGAGGGAACTTTTACCCTTAGGCGTATTATTGTTGCGTGCTACTAGTGTAGGAAGCTACGTACGCACAAGGTGACGAGAGTCCGTATGTTGCTATATTTCATGATATGTCCGGGTAGACTTAGATTCACATCATGCTTTTAATTGTACTGTTTATACATGTCATATGAATTAATTGGATTGATTAGAGTTGAGACTGGTGATTTAAATTGGAATCATCGACTTAACTTCTTATTTCAGAACACTGGGGAATACTCAATAAACTATGAAAATCCATGTCTTCTCGTCTCGCAAGTACTTCCGCGAGCGGGGTAAATTTCTCTACTCTAATAGGATCGGGTCGTTCGCCTTGGCAGTATGATAACACCACTCCTATGGGATCGGGTCGTTCACCTCGGCAGTATGATAATACCACTCTTATAGAATCGGGCAGTTCACCTCGGATGTATGATAGTGACACTATTCTTGTCACACCCCAACCCATAGAGGCGTGACCAGCACCCGGTGCCATACTCGGCCTAAGCGTACCATTCTATAACTGTGAACTCTGGAGGGGTAACCTCAACTTAGGCCGGTGAGGCTATATTCTAAATCATCTGAGAATAACGTCTCTCTCATATGAGGGGTAAACATGCCTAAAAGTTGATATATATAAATGTGCAGGCCGACGAAGCCGCCATGAACATCTACTGATATACAAAATATACAGGACTCGCCTATAAGCCTCCAGAGATAACAAAGTTGTATCATGGTCAGGACAGGCCTCAACCTACCCATCAAACCTGTACATATAAAATGGACTCCATGGTCTAGACCTAGTAACTCCGAGGAAGTGGAGCTTACCAACCAAACTGATGTTTGACTCTCTACTGGGAAGATCTATCCAGCTGTCTATCAGGACTTGCAGGCATGAAATTCAGCGTCCTGATACGCTCAAATTACACTTTAATTAAATAGTATAAGGCAGTCGGTGTCAAATATAATAACCCAACAAGGTTGGGGTCGAATCCTACAGGGAATAGGCGTGAAAAGGTTACTTGAGTAGTGTGAAACTTGACTTAGGTCGTAATTCTGTTCCTTTGATGTAACAAGAGAATGATATAATTGAGAGTTAAGAAGATAACTAATTTTGTTATGAGAATGTGAATAATTTGATTAAGGAAACCAAGGTTGTGTCACCATCAATGAAATGTAATGCTATCCGTGTTAATATGATATATTTCTAATGGAAGGTCCTTTTGATATGCAAATTGTTTCTAAATGACTACCCAATATTTTCCAATGGTTGAGTAGTATTTTCTCTTTTTGATTTTTTCAAATATAAAAGAGTTACAATTTAAAAACAACCAATTTACGCCAAGTAGAACCCACTTATTCCTAAGTGATTCTATTAAACAATATTTAAAGTCTTGAGTTCTTGATATTCAATTCTACCGAACCCTAACCCACTTTTCTAAGTAAAGAAAGAGTAACCCATGGGAGGCAACCCATCAATCCTTATATATGATTTCTCCCACATCAATCCTTATGCCTGTCATGATACAGGCAATGAGGAGTGCCTTCTCAATGTTGATGTCAGTTTCATTTCTAGTTGGCATCAGACGGGATGTGACAAAGCTGAGCCAGTATCGACCCTCCCGTGTGAGATCCTCCTTGTAAATTTTGTGTTTAGGGTCAATCCAGGCTGGTGTACCCTTTGCTATAACGGAAGCAATCCAGGCACGCTCGTTGTTCTTGTTAGCTACCTTAGCCTCATACTCAGCTGTTCCTGACCTCCACTCCTCAAAGTACAGGTCATTGATAGTTGCATCATCACAAAGAACTTGGACCCTTCGAACTAGGACAGATTGTGCAAATATCTTGTTTCGCTTATGTTCAGCAGTCCTTGATGCACCATACGAAGCATAGAATTCCCTCACAAGCGTCTCATTATATTCATCAGGGACCTCAGTGAAGAATTCCCATTTCCTCTGCCTAATGTTCTCTATTATATGAGGCTAGTGCTCCTTCAGCCCCTTTAAACTCAATTGTTTCTCCTCGAGAATCTTTCTCTTTGATAGCCCTTCTTTATACAGATTCATGGAGCCTTTGACCCCAAATCGGAGATTAAGATCCTCCCCCATCTTCCTTCGTGCCTCAACCTGTAGATCAACAGAAGGCCTAAGGTCACTCTATGCCTCCTCCTCTTCAGACTGGGAGGAGTGCTCAGGAGTAATGCGAATTGCCTGAGCCCGCTGACGTTTGGCTTGTTGTGCTTATTGTCTAGGAGTAGAACCCCTTTTCTATCTACGAGCGGGAGGTGATCGCGTTGGATTAGACTTCTTTGGTGTCATTCCTATTGATGAAACATTGTGTGAGTGGGTGAAAAAGTATAGGAAATACATTAGAGACAAAGGAAAGAAGCAAGTAGACTATGCGATGGGTTATGCGATCGCATATTAACTATGCGGTTCGCAAACCCATCGCAGATGTACACAACATAAAAGGCAAAAATGTTTTGTGATCGCAGAAGCAACCGTATATGTGGTTATGCGACCGCAAAGTGGTCGCATTTCTTATCACCAGAAATGCTTATTGTCTGCCTCACTTTGCGGCAAGTATGCGAACCGCATAAGCGGTTTGCGATCGCAAAAGCAGTCGCATAACCCTTTTTGCATTAGACCACCTAAGGGTCTTATGCGACAACTTTGCAGCCCGCAAACCAATTATGCAGCTCGCAAAGATCATCTTCTCCATTGAAACAGCGCACACCCCACTCACATGTTCTCCACACCATATGCACATCACACTCACATGCTTTCCTAAAAGTACCTACTTAGATTCCTCACTATTGCTATAGGCCACATGGTCGACTCAAGATAAGAAGGGTACTCAGACTTCCCCCATTGTGGTCACAGGCCAATCGATTTAGGAGGGAAAGGGGTACTCAGATTTCCCCCATTTTGTTTCATCAACAATAACGCACACATTCACTCAATCAAAACCTCACCATGATGCTACCGTACTCAGGGGGAATTTAGGGGATCAGGGGAACGACCATGAAGATCATAATTCAGGAAGAGGCATGATCACAATTACGACAGGGAAAAGGAATTCATACCAGATGTTGAGCGAGATTTTGCAAGCCCGAAATGCTTCGTGTGATTGGGATTCCTTGCTTGGTAAGTGATTTTTTTTTCTTTTTGATCTTTTCTGTTTTCTTTCCTTACCCGTAAAATTTTTTTTCTTTTTATTTTAATTAAGTGATAGTGTGTGATAAGAGTGAGGATGAAAATGCTGAAGGTTAGGGTTTTGGACCTATCAAATTTGCGGCGATTAAGTCCATCCCAGAACATGTTATGCGATGCATATGTGTTGTGCGATGGACTAAATACTGACCAACCTAAACAAACTTTGCGATGCATTATGCGGTCGCAAAGTTGTTATGCGGACCGCATAAGTGAAAAACTTACTGTATATCTGACCATCAAGTTAATCAATTTCTCTGCCTAGGTCTGCGATGACTATGTTGTTCGCAGAGTCATTATGCGACCTCGTAGTGACCGCATAGTTGTCGCCAATTCTTGACCTTTCTTTCCTTCAGTTTCCTCAGCACTAGGACCCTGTTCATGATATTTTGGGACTACCTGCACTCTAACACACAACTTGCTCAATCTAAACTACATAAAAACAATTTATAAAAAAATGTTACCACACATGGGTTGCCTCCCAGATGCGCTTGATTTAACGTCGTGGCACGATGCAGTTTACCTCGTTTTGTTCTATCAAATCCCTTTATCCTGTGGTACTGAGCTAATGCTTGACTCGTTGACTCAAGTTCAATAGCACCATAGAGGGACACACTCACAACTTTGAACGGGCCAGACTATTTGGACTTGAGTTTTCTCCAAAAAAAACTTGAGTCTTGAATTGAAGAGTAAGACCAAGTCATCGGAATTGAACTCCCACTTCAATATCTTCTTATCATGGACAAACTTCATTCTCTCCTTGTACATGGCTGCACTCTCATAGGCATGGAGACGGAATTCCTCCATCTCATTGAGTTGTGTCATTCTCATATTAGAAGCCTCGTCCCAGTCAAGATTCAACTTCTTCAATGCCCATATGGCTTTGTGTCAAGCTCCACTCGCAAGTGACATGCTTTGCCAAAAACTAACCGGTACAGTGAAGTGCCAATGGGAGTCTTAAATGCTGTGCGATATGCCCATAATGCATTATCTAGCTTCCTTGACCAGTCGGTCCGGTTTGCATTGACGGTTTTTGCTAGGATGTTTTGATTTCCCTATTAGAAACTTCGACTTGACCACTCGACTGAGGATGATAGGGCGTGGCCTCTTGTGTTTTACACCATACTTTTCAAGCAGCCCAGCGAAAGCCTTGCTGCAGAAATGAGAACCACCATCACTCAGGATAGCCCTCGGGGTACCAAACCGCGTGAATATGTTCTTCTTCAAGAATGCGGTTACACTCCTTGCTTCATTGTTGGGCAAGGCGATTGCCTCGACCCATTTGGAGACGTTATCCACCACCACTAAGATGTAGGTCATGCCATAGGAGCTCACAAAAGGGCCCATAAAGTCTATCCCCCACACATCAAAGATCTCGACCTCCAGTACAAAATTCATAAGCATCTCATGTCTTTTAGATATTGACCCTTGTCTTTGACATTGATCGCATGCCTTAACCATTTGATTTGCGTCTTGGTAGATCGATGGCCAATAGTAGCCACATTAGAGCACCTTTGCAGCGGTCCGGTTTCCTCCATGATGACCCCCAACCGGAGAATCATGGCATGCTTTGAGAATTGGCATAACTTCATCTTCCGGACACACCGTCGAATGATGTTGTCGGCACAAATTCGAAACAAAAAGGGTTCCTCCCAGTAGTATTGCCTACATTCCCGCAAGAATTTTGTCTTTTGATAAGTCTCCAATCCATCGGGAATAAGATCACTAACCAAGAAGTTAGCGATGTCGGCATACCAAGGAGAGAATGTGCCAAACAATGCTAATATGTGCTCATCTGGAAAATAATCATTGATCTCAAGGTCTTCTTTTGGTCTCCCTGCTCCTCAACCTCAAGCCTAGATAGGTGATCCGCAACTTGATTTTCTATCCCTTTCTGATCCTTGACTTCAAAGTCAAACTCTTGCAACAAAAGGACCCACCGAATCAATCTTGGTTTGACATCCTTCTTCGCCATAAGATAACGAAGAGCAGCATGATCAGTGTAAACTATCACTTTGGACCCCAACAAATAAGCCCAAAACTTTTCAAACGCATAGAGAATGGCGAGAAGTTCTTGCTCAGTCACAGTGTAATTCATTTGGGCGCCATGAAGTGTCTTGCTTGCATAGTAGACAGGTTGAAGGATCTTTTTGTGACGTTGGCCAAGCACCGCCCTAATAGCTACACCACTAGCATCACACAAGAGTTCGAATGGTAGAGACCAATTGGGTGTGACAATAATAGGTGCAGTGGTGAGCTTTTCTTTCAATTCCTCAAGGGCCTTGAGACACTTCTCATCAAATATGAACTTTGCATCTTTTTCAAGGAGTTTGCACATGGGTTTTGCAATTTTGGAGAAGTCCTTGATGAAACGCCTATAAAAATCGGCGTGCCCCAAAAAGCTTCGGACACCTTTTACTGAAGTAGGTGGAGGAAGCTTGGAAATGATCTCGATCTTTGACCGGTCAACCTCTATGCCTTGTTTGGAAATTTTGTGGCCCAAAACAATACCCTCATCCACCATGAAGTGGCATTTCTCCCAATTTAGCACAAGTTTTGTTTCTTCACATCTTTTGAGAATTTGCCTAAGGTTGTCAAGACAATGCTCAAGGGAATCACCCACTACCGAGAAGTCATCCATAAACACCTCTAAGAAATCTTCCACCATGTCCGAGAAGATTGGCATCATGCACCATGGGAAAGTAGTTGGAGCGTTGCATAGCCCAAATGGCATGTGGCTAAAAGCAAAAGTCTCATATGGGCATGTGAATGACGTCTTCTCTTGATCTTCCAATGCGATATTGATTTGGTTATAGCCGGAATATCCATCCAAGAAGCAATAGAATGACCTTCCTGCTAGCCGATCAAGCATTTGATCAATAAAAGGCATAGGGAAATGGTCCTTGTACGTAGCACTATTTAGCTTCCGGTAGTCCATGCAAACTCTCCATCCGATCACTGTTCTCGTTGGGGTGAGCTTATTTCTATCGTTTTCAATCACGGTCATGCCTCCTTTCTTTGGCACACATTGTACCGGACTCACCTAAGAACTATCGGCAATGGGATAGACTACCCCGGCATCTAACCACTTGATGATTTCTTTCTTTACCACCTCTTGCATGGAAGGGTTTAACCTTCGTTGATGCTCCACACTGGGTTTACTCTCTTGCTCCAATTGTATCTTGTGTTCACAAATTCCGACATGAATCCCTCGGATGTCCGCTATTGTCCACCTAATAGCTTGCCTATGCTCCCTCAAGATATTCAACCATTGTTCTACCTGCACATCATTCAAAAAAGAAGAAACGATTACCGGTAGAGTGTCATTAGAGCCAAGAAATCTATACCTCAAGTGCGGTGGAAGTGGTTTGAGCTCAAGTTGCGGCGGCTCAATAATTGAAGGCTTGGCGGGAGGAGTAACTCTATTCTCTAAGTCAAGAGAAAGTTTCTTTGGAGCATAGGTGTAGGACCCAAGTCCTTCTAATGCATTCACTCATTCCATGTACCCCTCCATATCTTCACCATCAAAATTTACCAAAATAGCCGCCAATGCCTCACCAAGGCATTGTTCGTCCATCTTCACTTCAATTTTGTCCTCTACCTCATCAAAAACATCAATTACTGAGATGCTTTCATATGCATTTGGCAACTTCACACCCTTGCTCGCTTGGAGTGCGACCTCTTCATCATTGACTCGGAACTTGATCTCATTTCGTTCCGTATCCATAAGTACTCTTCCGGTAGCAAGAAATGGTCTCCCCAAGATGATAGGGATCTCTATGTCAACAACACAATCAAGGATCACAAAGTCGGCGGGGAGGAGGAATTTTACCACTTTCATAAGCACATCATCAACAATTCCCACCAGTCTCTTTATTGAACGATCGACCATTTGCAACTTCATACTTGTAGGCCTCGGCATACCTAACCCCGCTTGCTTGTAAATAGCAAGAGGCATTAAATTGATGCTAGCCCCATTATCACAAAGAGCCCTTGCAAAATTGGACGCCTCAATAGTGCATGGAATGGTAAAAGCTCCCGGGTCTTCTTTCTTTTGAACGGTAGTTGTTGCAAGGATGGAACTAACCCAGCGATTCACATTCATCACTTCATTCTTGGTAGTTTTCTTCTTGGTGATCAAGTGTTTCAAATACTTAGTAAAACTTGGCATCTCTTGAAATGCTTCCACAAATGGATTATTTACCGATAATTGCTTGAGAATGTCATTGAACTTCTCGAGTTTGCTACTATCAACCTTCCTATCAAGTCTTTGAGGGAAAGGAGGGGGGGTCTAGGAAGTGGTGCTAGAGTTTTTGGCGTCTCTTTCACCTTTTCCTTAACCTCTTCCCGGTTCACTTCTTGAACTTTCAATTCTTCCGGGACCTTTTTAGCTTCAACAACAATTGGGACTTCAACTTGTGCCTCAACTTCTTGTTCGGAATCTTCTACTTCAACCACTAGTTCACTCTCTCCTTGAAGTACTTCCACACTCCGAGTAGTAATTGCCATGCAATGAGAAGTTGGACGACTCCCACTACCCTTTGGGTTTGCAATTGTGTCACTTGGGAGTGTCCCCTTTTGACTTGGAATTTGCTCTCTTGAGAGATCTCTCATTTTCATCTCCAACTTTTGAATAGATGCAGTATTAGAGCCGACAAGCTCGGTCTTATTCCACATTGAAGTGTTGGACCTATCTTGATTTTGCAATACCCGCTCAAGCATGTTCTCCAACTTGGAATCACTTGAGGAAACTTGATTTGAATATTGCCCCTCTGGTGGAACATAAGGGTTTGAACTCTGATAAGTTATTGTTGTTGTTACTCCAATTCCCTTGATTTGAACTACCTTGGTCATTTCGCCACTGTTGGTTGCCTTGCCCTTGCGGGTTAGGCCTCTATTGGTTTTGTTGTCTTGAACCTTGGTAATGTTGCATTTATAACCTCCTTGAGAGTTTTTGACATAATTTGCTTCCTCATAATTTTCATTTGATGTGGGTTGAACATCTTCCACCACATTTACCTTTTTTGTTTGGCTTTCAGTGAACATCTTTGGCAACACATTGACGTTGGTGGCAAGCCCGGCAATTACTTGATCTCTTTCTTGGTTCTCCTTAATCATGTTGCTCAAGAAAGGAGTACCATATGCAATTCCACCTATGGTGTCCTCTGAGTGCCAAGCTTGGTTGTGTTTTGCCATTTTATCAAGGATTTGTGTGATCCTTGCAAATGTTTTATCCATGAAAGATCCATCAGTTGCATTCTTGGCTATAGATTGGTTCATAGCATCCAAACCCATGTAGAATTTCTCAAACAATATAGAATCCAGAAAAACATGATTCGGTGACCTCACCAAATATAACTTGAATCTATCCCATGCCTCATGTAGATGTTCTCCCGATAGTTGCTTGAAAAAGAAAATTTTATCCTGGAGTTCAGATTTCTTGCTTTGCGGGAATCATTTAGCTAAGAATGCTCGGACAAGTTGAATGGACTGAGTTTGGTGGTAAATTTTGAATCCATTTACTCACCTCTCCAGTCAGTGAGAACTTGAACACCCTCAATCTTAGGGCATCATCTGAGACGTTGTCCTGCTTGTGCATCGCACACACACCCAAGAAGTTTTTGGGGATGTTGTGTTGGATCATCGTCGGTGGAATTCCTGAAAAACCCCTCTGCTTTGAGCATTAGGATTAAACAGTGTTCCACCTTGAAAGTGGCAGCGTCAACTCTCGGAGGTACAATAGCATTTTGTATCCTCAATGTACTCATCTATGTCCGCAAAAGGATTTTCTTCGTCCTCATATTTGGCCATGTTTTCCTATCAACACCAAGCAAAACAAGCAAAGTGTAATGGAATAGAAGAAGACGTGAAGTAAAGAACACACTAATTAGTAATTTCAAAACCATATTCCCCGGCAACGGGGCCAAAATTTGATACGCTCAAATTACACTTTGATTAAATAATGTAAGGCAGTCGGTGTCAAATATACTAACCCAACAAGGTTGGGGTCGAATCCCACAGGGAATAGGCGTGAAAAGCTTACTTGAGTAGTGTGGAACTTGACTTAGGTCGTAATTATATTCCTTTGATGTAACAAGATAATGATATAATTGAGAGTTAAGAAGATAACTAATTTTGTTATGAGAATGTGAATAATTTGATTAAGGAAACCAAGGTTGTATCCCCATCAATGAAATATAATGTTATTGGTGTTAATATGATATATTTGTAATGGATGGTCCTTTTGATATGCAAATGGTTTCTAAATGACTACCCAATATATTCCAATGATTGAGTAGTATTTTCTCCTTATGATTTTTCCAAAATTAATGGAGTATTCAATGCTCTCTATGTAGGACCTTTTTCAGACTTGAATACCCCACAAAAACCCTAGTTATTCTTTTTATAGTGGACCAAAAGTCATGGTCAACATCGAACAAAATCTCCCCTGCAGACAGCTT